CCGGGCTGTGGATACAAATCGGGAGATGCAGTATTTGGAACAATCCCTCCTTTTTGCGGCTCATTTGCAGAATATGTACGGGCACCGACTGATTTCATCAGCCGCAAACCCGATAATATGTCGTTCGCTGAAGCGTGTGCGCTTCCTTTAGGTGGTTTGACCGTCTTGCAAGCCTTCGAGGACAATAATCTAATGGCTGGACAACATGTTCTGGTTCTAGGCGCTTCGGGCGGAACTGGTCACTTCGCCGTGCAAATAGCTAAAATCAAGAGCGCGAGAGTGACTGCAGTGAGTGGTTCACGGAACGCCGATTTTGTCAAAAGTCTTGGAGCAGATGAAGTCCTCTTTGAGGGTTGATTTGTTTGTAAATAAACAGGCTCTCATCCATTGTACAGAACACTACTTCAACAGAAAACCAAAAGAGTTAAAAATGGCACATATTTATCGTTTATTATATTGAATTTAACAAAAACTACTTGGATGTTTTTATTAAGTGAGACTCTTGTGAACCTTCTTATGCTTTCACGCATATTCAGTATCGTTATTTTTTTTGAAGTAACTCCTGGAAAATTTCGAGAAAAACGAAGTACAAAATTATTTCTTTTCACAAACAATTTCAATGACAATTTTACCTACTGCACGACGACTCATTTGTAAGCGAAATGCTTCCTGAACACCTTCGTCCGTGAACAGCATGCGATTGGCTATTGCGACCTTGAGCTGATTGGCCTCACAAAACTGACGAAGTGATTCAAGTCTTTGAGTACTATCCGGAAACCTCACCCAGAACAGTAGTCTGCCCTTTGAGAAGCAATTGACACCGAAAAAACGTTTGACGTGTGCAAACGCCCAGTCGGTCACGAGACCCCCGATAAAAATGTACATTCCAGTAACCATTTTGGGCTTAACGTTGCGAATTCGACTTTCATAAGCAAAACTCGCATCGCGCGGATCATGAGACGATACCGAGTCAAAAACCAGATCAAACGGACCATGACGCGATGTAACACCCCGTAAATCCGCCAAGATATCTGCAGACCGATCATAGAAGAGGACTTCATCTGCTCCAAGACTTTTGACAAAATCGGCGTTCCGTGAACCACT